AAAAAGTTTGTAATATAATTACAGAAAATTATAGAAAAGCTTGAATTAATAAAACTCACATAGATTTATAAGTCCTAACACAGGACGCACACATCCACTTTTTAGAATGTTTTAATGGAAATAAAACCAGTGGGATAAATGGGGGAGGGAAGCATTGAGTACGAGTCATTACAGTTATAACGGTAAGCATGCCTCTGAAGTTATGAGACTGAAATCTCTAAATGGTACCACAGATTCTCTGCATGATCTTGAACAGGTTTTACGGTTTGTTTCACATCTGTTTCTGGAAATGCACATAGCTACCTCACTGGCATCAAATATGGACTAGTTAATATGTGTATGGTTCTTAGTAACGGTGATTAGTAATAGGAAACCTGTTAAAGAAAAGGTTATTTTCCATACTAAAATTTTAGGCTCTGCTGAAATGAAGAACAGTTACTGAAGCACGCTAAGCCACTTCATAAGTGAGCGGCTGAAATAATTGTTAATAGGCCTAAATACAATAGGCACTAAATTTGAATGTAGTAAATTTCAGTTTATAGGTTTAACTTAGAATGATGTTTCTGCATTTGGTATTCTGTCACTTGCATTGGAAGTTACTGGTTTCATAATGAACATTAGAGAGAAAAGAAGGCAGAAAATGCAAGGGTTCTTTTTGAGAAAGAGGGTGGTAATACTAGAGGTGGTCAAGTACAAAAAGAGGTCTGGGGGAGTGCTTTGGGTTTTTTTTTTTAGGGGAGTTTGTACCAAGTCCAGAGAGACAGAATTTGCCAGTTCATTCTCCAATTTGAAATGATGTACCTTTGCTGAAAACACCTAAACTACTTGCTTGTATTCTATACTGTGATATTTTGAAGCTCTCTCTGTCGTCTGTCCACAGTGGACTGTGATGATCTTAAATCTGTTACAGCTTACTGTCCAAAAACAACAGGGGAAAACACTGTTTTTTATGGCTGCTGCATGGAAACAGTAGTGGTCAGTGTGATAAAAATAGGTATTTGCTAGAGGTTTGTTGTTTTTCCTACATTATTCTTAAATGACTCTCATCTGGTGGTGAAATTGTATATTCCAGTTGAGCTGATATAGTGCCAGCTGCTGAAAGGAAGTCACATCCTTCTCATCCTTAGCTATACAGCCCTGCTGGCTCTTAGTGCTTTTTGGAACTTTTGAAATTATTCGAAGCAGCATAAAAGTATTCATGTCCCATCTGTGGGAGAGCTGTTCAGCTTCATAGTGGTTCAGATCTGACAGTTAAGTTCACCCCCTGACTGTCTCTGATGACATCTTTTTCTTCCTTAAATAATGATTGTTTTTGTTATTTATGTGGAATTTTCCTCAAGGTACATGCTGAGCTTAAGATAGTAATCACTCACGGCATCTAATGCTTGTGTGATGTTTCCTGTTTGTATAAGGTACTTGGCAAAGGGCTGCACATGGACTAGACTTGCCAACAGTATTAGATTTTAGACAGAAAAATTAAACATTGCACAGCTGCTGTAATCTTAATCTTTGCTGGGCATGTTGTCAATTACAAGTTTCCTTTTTAGCATGGAGGAGAATACTGCTAATGTGACTCTGAAATTCAGTCAGTTCAGTTGAAGTCCAAGCATTCCTTTCTACCACATCTAATTGTGAGCTTGGAATGTATGTTAAGGTTTTAGGGACTTCGGAGGGTCTTCATTTTAGTCTTAAGTGGCTGTTCCCAGTTAGCCTTCTGAAATAGACCTGTTTGCCTTCCTGGAACTGGAAGAAATAGGAATGATCAATATGAGCTGAAGATAACCTGTTAAGGTAGAGTGGTAAGAAAGAAGGATTTTCTGAATTAGTTTTTAACTACAGTATTAATTTAATTATATTTTTGTTTTAGTCAAATTTGCTAATGTGTTTATGGTTTGGATATGCCTTCTTTCTCTGACTGTGGTTTACTTTTAGGACGACTTGAGTGTCATGCCAGCTACTACAGTGGGATCCTAGATGGGGTACAGTGACTTAGGTCTTCTGTATACAAAGTGGAATCTGATGATTTTCACACATGTAGAAAACTTAATTGTCTTAAATTGTGAACTCTCAAAGTCTACATGAGTATACTTTGTCTAGGGGGGAAAAAGGTACAGAGCAGTGTGTGTTCCCTTATAGCTGAGAAAAAAAAAAAAGTCCTTTCTAATTGACTAAGCTCTCTTATTTTCTTTACATTGCTTTTGGGGATGTTTTAATTGTTAAAGAAAAATGTTCAGAGGATAATACAGATTGACTAGGAACATAGCGAGAATGCTAGAATGGTTAACATTTTTGCTGGCTAGTGTGGGATTATTTTGTTGTTGTTGTTGCTGCTGCTGTGGTTGGTGTTTGCTTTGTTTGTTTGTTTCTTCTTTTTTAACAAAAACGGAAGTGCCTTTCTTGAAGAAAATTGTGTCCATGTTATCAGGGCTTTTTCCTTGCTTTTTTCATTTGACTGACTGCATATATCTGCTGTTATTTATTCATGATATATGGAGACAGTTGATGAGTGCAGTATACTGCTGCTCAAATACAGGTTTGTTTTGTATTTTATATATTTTTTACTGATAAAATGAAATACAGTATGACATGAAGAAGGTAAGAAATATTATCTCAAAGACTTTACCACAGATATTTTCTATCCACCAGCCAGGAGAGTGCACTTCCTATAACTGGTAGTTTGCAGTTTATGAAGTATTTGATGTGTTTTGTGGGACAGATGTATTCCCTGTTGTCTCTGAAAGGAAATTTTTTTAATTATAAACTGATTTTACAGGACTGTGGGAAAAGCTGCTTTTTATATTTTAATGCTATGTTATATCACTTATTTTAAAATATGAGTTGACTTAGTATGTCATGTCAACTCAGAATTTTTTTTTATACAAAGACATGCTTAATTAGCATGATCGCAACACTGCAGATGTTACTAACTTAAGGTGACATCTAGTGCAAAACTACTACACTTTGCAAAATAGTATTTGTTGGAATATAAAAGCATCCTTTCAGTTAGCGTCTGAGAAACGCTTATGCTCTGTTTCAAAACTCCTATGATTGTGGTTCAGAAAAGATGGAAAACTGAAGAATGAGAACAGTAAAATTTCCAGTAAGTTTCCAGTAAAATTAATGGAACTCATGTTAGTAATTTTCTTTTTTTAATAGAAAAAAGTGTGACCTTTCCTTACTGAATACACTAAATCATGAATTTCATTAATCTTGCAAAAGAATCTTGTACATTTTCTTTTCAGTGGAGAAGTAACTTGGGTAAAGTGGTAAAAAGTGGGAAAAGAAAATTTTATAATTTAAAAAGGTGATTATTTTATGCTGATAATTTTTGTGTCAGTAAAATCGGTGTTTTGATCAGTTCATAAATTGCTGGTCAGTCTGAAGTGTTATGAAGTAGATTAAAGCCTTTTAGAAGATGCGTACCTTTTGCAAGAACTTTATGAGCAAAATAGTGAATGTAGGCGAAAGCCTTTGACTCCTCCATTTCAAGATAACGGAGAGCAATTAGTTAAAACTGAATTGTGCTGATTTCCGTATTTTGCAGATGCTCTGAAATTAACTCATGTAAGCTTTATCCCTGGATTCATCAGTTTAGCAATAACAGAAGATCTGCTGATCAAATACGCCCAGTTTATTTCCCTGATGTTGATCCTCACAGTCTTCCTTCTGGTTCAAACTTCTCTATGACAGCAGGGGATTTTCAAGAAATTTATTCTGAGTGCAGTGAGTAAATGCAAACTTCTAGGCTATACATGTAACTGTGGCTTCAAAGTATTTGTTATGAGACAGTTAAGTTACAAATAGAGGGGAACTGTATCTATTGGCATTAAGCAAAAAGTACGAAGTGGTGAGATTTTCTTACTCCAAACCAGCTTTTCTTCTTAGTTGTAAAAAGAAGTGGGCACCCCCTTGCCTAACAGATCTTTGTTGCAATAATCTCTTTTGGAATAAGACAGCACAGTAGTATTATGGAAAGATTTACTTGCTTTAGAAAAGCGATGCTACAAAGGGGACAGTGTAATTAGTCACTTACCCTTAGTGTAAAAAATAGAAATAGGAGGGTTTTTTGTGAATTGATTTTCTTTTGTAGAAGTAAAGCTGACTGTTTAAATGGTAGTAAATTGTAAATGAAAAAAAACCCGCATAACTATTGACTGTCAGTAGCAGGTATTTCAGAGGCACATTATGGGGATGATAAATGCCATGATGTTTCGTGACTAACTTAATGTTGAATTAACCTGCAGAAGACTATCTTACTGGGTGCCTACTCCACCAATTACATATTTAGGATTTGCTCAAGGGTGGCACTTGCCTGGTTCTTTTATTTGTAGTCTAATATTCTAATATATGCCTTTTCAGAAGTCACTATCTTTTCTTTACACAGTATTTGATTATGACAGGAGTCATCTATTTTCTGTTTCCACTTTTCTCTCCCTGTTAGACCTATAGCCTTTATTCACCAGGATATATGGCTATTGATCTATCCATTATTTTCTAGCTAGATTTCCAGATATTTTCTGGCAGGAGCCGTTCTTATAGTTGCCTAATTTTCTGCAGGTTGTGTCTTACATTACAACATCCGATACTGGCATAAATTGAGACTTCTGATTTTTTTTTTCATTTACAGAACTTTAAACTTTTGTAATTTCAAGGATACATGTTTAGAGAAAATCAGGGACACTGATGCTGTAAAAAATAGATGTTGAAAGATCCTGCTTGTTAAATTAACTAGGAAAAAAACAGCTGGAGATACTGAGTTAAATGTTTTAAAGCTATGTGATTTGTGAAGGTCAACGTTAGTGTACAGACTTGCCTTCTTCCAGGTACTAACTAGAGGCCCAAAATCACTACAGATTTTTGCAGTTGTATTTTTTACAGTTACGGTAATTAATTTTATAGGGCAGGTGAGTAATAGAACACTTGGGCCTTCATTTATATAAAATGTGTTATAATTCTTACATTTTACAGTTTGTAATACAAATACATCTCATTTTATGTGTGTGTGAACAATTTTATAAAATGCATTAAAAATGTGTATAATATTTTAGTGTGTGTATGTGTCTGTACACACATGTGTATATATGTCACATGAACACAAACCTAACTTGTTAACCTAAATCAGAATATTTTGTTTATTTGTAAATTAATTTAAGAGCCTTCAGCTGTTGTTAGTTGAAGGTAATGCTGAGCGTATAAACAAATACTGGGGTTCAGTGATGAACTTTTACAGGGGTATAAATGTTGAAGCTAATCTCTGTATACTTTGCTCCTTTTATGCAGATACGTGGGACTGCATAGCAACTTGCTTTTTCATAGATACAGCACATAATGTTATTGATTACATTGATACTATATGGAAAATCCTGAAGCCTGGGGGAATATGGATAAATGTAGGCAAGTGCAACCAGCTTCTCTTTCTGCTAACCCGGGCTGGGGTTTGATCGTGCAGTAGGCATCTGGTACTTCAAAAGAAGTAGGGGTGAACGTTTCTGTGCTGAAACTCTGTAGAGCTAGAAACAAATGGGGATTAGAAATTATCTCAGATGTGTTCAGAATATGTCCAGGTATTTGCCAGTTAAAATCAAGTCAACACTGATTTTTAAACAGAGAAGTAAATCTTCACAGTGGTGGGTTGTGCATTCATACATCAAACATTGATTTGACAAATCTAGTGTTCTGTATCCTTTTTTATCAGTTTTCTAAGAAAATTGTATAACTTGCTCTGTGCATAAACAAATCCTTGCATATTTTCTTAATCTGTTGTCCAGTGTGTACTGTGCTTCTAAGCAAAAGCTTTAAGAGTGAGATTTATGTATGTGTTGGCTCAAAAGAAAGGAGACAGTTTTAAGGCTTCCATGGTGAAGGAGTGTCACAAAACTCAGGAGTTAAACATTTTTGTATAGTGGAAACTAGTTAAGTCAACCCCTTCACCAGTCCTGGTCAGTCACAAAATGCAAGCAGAGCTCCTGAGTAGACTCCTGCCTTCTGTTCTGTAGGGACAGCAGTGATGCTAGTCTGAAGAAATTTAAGATATGGGAAATGAAACTTCACTGTTACCTAAGAAGCTGAACTGATTTGGTTTCATTTTGCATTGATGCTGAAATTTGCTATAAAAAATCATCTTTGAGATATAGAAACAAGTTCTTTTACCTACGTTTCCATATGTGAGTCTGGATACAGTTGTTGCATTTCTAGTGCATCCTTTCAATTTTTAAAATATTTTTGTCTTCGATAACCATTTCTGTTGTATCCTTTTACTCTAGGTCCTCTTCTTTACCATTTTGAAAACTTGGGAAATGAACTTTCTATAGAATTAAGCTATGAGGATATAAAAAATGTTATACTGCAATATGGATTCCATATAGAGGTAAGAAGATGCCTTAGTTTGCAATATGTAATACTGGTATAAACTAGACAAATTGCTTTGAAGAAAACTTTACCTTAAATATAGTTTGTCATATTAGCATATGCTATTAACTTCTAGGAGAATAAAATGTTTGCGTGTTGTAAATTACTTGCTTTCCTTGGGTTTTTTTAAGTGTATAGATGGGCCTTGAAATCTAGTGAGTATATAGCAATTTATTTCATACAAAGATAAACTTGTACAGTTCTTGTAGAGGAGGTGTTTTGAAAACTGCTGCTTTTTTCAGGTGGAGAAGGAATCTGTACTGTCAACTTACACTGTGAATGAACTCTCCATGATGAAATACTACTATGAATGCGTGTTGTTTGTGGTGAGAAAACCAGAATAGAAGTGGTCTGAATAAGCTGGCTTGAAAGCTAGAAATGAGAATAAAGTGGACTGGGTGATATCTGGACACAACCTCAAATCAGTGGTGCCTTTTTATTCCTAATAGGTTTTGGATAGTGTCTATTTTCTTAATAACTATTGCTATCTAGACATGTAATGTGCCATGCCTATTTGTAATACACTTGTGAAAATGGAGGAGTAAATGTTCACGTACATTGTCTTTGTGCTTTGGAATGCATTCAAAATAAAAGCAAAAATGTTTTATTGAGAATAAAATTTAATGTTTGGCATAACTAGATAATTCTCTGCATACGCTGCCTCGTTTTTCATAAATTTATAAGGATTTTCTTTTTTGTACTTTCTGATGTTAGGAATGCATAGAGGTGTTTACTGTACTAGATGTGTCACATTTAGAGAAGTATTTCTAAACATACACTTAAATTATGAAGTCTGAACTGGTTGGAAAGCGCTAACATTTTTCTTGGTAGATAAAATAGCCATCAAAACTGTTAGAGCATTTTCTGTGGAACTCAAGTGAGGGTTGTGATACAAACTCCAGTCTTTGACTGTACCACTGTTAACAATTTAATCCCAACAAAGAACCTGTAGGCAATACGAAATACTATGGGAAAACAGAGTACTGAGTGAAGAAAAAGCAGCATGTCACAGGGAAGCAGTACACTAACCTCAGTAAAGGAATAACACCATTTTTGATTAGTCTTGGTGTTGAAACTGATTTTGAGTCACCTACTTAATTCTTTACTGTTTTGGGTTAAGCAGTATTTCTTTGTTAAACATAAATAACAAAGTCATGTTACACCTTGAGGTCTTTAAAAAAAAAAAAAAAGTTGGTGACATAGTTGAGTTACCTCTGCCACATGAAAGTAATACAGTGGAAAAAGCCCTGCTTCTCAAGGTGGGGAGTTACATGTAAATCACAGAATTGTTCTGGTTGGAAGAGACCTTTCAGATCATCAAGTCCAACTGTTAACCCAGTACTACCAGGTGACCACTAAACCATGTTCCTCAGCACCACATCTACAAGCCTTGTAAATACCTCCAGGAACAGTGGGTGACTCAACCACTTGCCTGGGCAACCTGCCCCAGTTCCCTCAGCTGCTTCTCGTGAGACTTGTTCTCTAGACCCTTCACTGCTTTGCTGCCCTTCTTTGGACATGATCCAGCACCTCAGTGCCTTTCTTGAAGTGAGGGGCCCAAAACTGAACACAGTATTCAAGGTGTGGCCTCACCATGGCTGAGCACAGGGAAATAGTAATTTCCCTGGTGTTGCTTGCTACACTATTGCTGATACAAGTCAGGATGCTTTTGGGCACCTGGGCACACTGCTGGCTCATATTCAGCCAACTGTCAACCACCAAACTCAGGTCCTTTTCTGCCAGGCAGGTTTCCAACCACTTTTCTCAAGCCTGTAGCGTTGCATACAGTTGTGGCCCAAGAGCAGGACTTAGTATTTGACCTTGAAGCTCATGCAATTGGCCTCAACCCATTGATCCAGCCTGTCCAGATACTTCTGTAAGAGCCTCTCTACTTCAAGCAGATCAACTCAACCACCCATCTTGGTTTCATCTGCAAACTGACCGAGTCCTTGTTCTCCTCATCCAAATAATTTATGAAGATACTGAACAGAATAGGCCCCGATACTGAGCCCTGGGGAACACCACTTATGACTGGCCACACAATGAGTTTAACTCCAGTTACCACTGCTCTGGGCCCAGCCATCCAGCTAGTTTTTTATCCAACAAAGCCTATGCCCACCCACACCATGAGCAGCCAGTTTCTTCTGGAGAATGCTGTGGGAAACAGTGTCAAAGACTTTCCTGAAGTCTAGACTGTGCCCAGCCTTTCCCTCATCCACTAGGTGGGTCACCTTGTCATAAAAGATCAGCTTAGTCAAGCAACACCTGCCTTTCATAAACCCATGCTAAGGGGCCTGATCCCATGGTTGTCCTGTACGTGCCATGTAATGGCACTCAAGCTGCTCTGCTCCACAGCCTTTCCTGGCACCAAGGTCAGACTGGCAGGCCTGTAGTTAATACATGCTGTCACCTGATCACCTCTACCTGCGTTGGCACATGCAGGCCAATTAGTAATTTCCTTGCAACTTCAGACACTTTGCCTTTATGACTTAGTGACTCTGCAGTTCCTTATCCTCATGGTTTTTTTCCTGGCAGATGTGGCTTGGGTGAATATTTGATCTACACATGATATTATCCAACAGGATGAATGCTCTGTCACTTGCGAGTACGTGAGGTAACAATCAGTGCCCTGAGAGGTCTCATCTTGGTCATTTCACTTTCCTAATATATTGGCTACCCTAACTACCATTTTAATCTATTTTCAAAAGTTTTTTTTTTTTAAAATACAAGAACAACATGATAAGGCATCAAAGTGGTTTTCATATTTGGTCATAATAGCACTGGACAATAGCTTGTTTCTTTCCCATTATTTCCAGTCCTTTTTTTTTTTTTGTGACATTCTGCTTATCACATCTCTTTAATAGATCTCTTACTGACTTTTGGATTTTTCCAAAAGGCCAGAAAATTGTGTCTTATTCCTAAACTGCAAGTATGCAAGGATGGAGAACACCTTCTGAATGTGGCTTCAACGCTGCATAAGAGCATGTGCAACTGGTTATGTTTCAGTGCTGTACCCTTTTCTGCTGAGAATCCTTACTGAGAATAAAGGCTTGTGGTCTACAGAAGCTTTCAATTACAGCTTTGTGTAAACTAGTCATATTTGTACTCTCTCTTCTTCCTGAAAGTGCACCACCAAGATTTAGCTCCATAAATGAACCATTGGAAGTTCTGCCCTGCTCCAAGAAAAAGAGTGTTTAAACACTGCAATCGCAATAAGCAGATTAAAAACATAAGCCCTTGCACACCTAAACGTAAAAAAAAAAGTAATTAAAAAGTTTTAATAAATCGTACTGTGTATGTTTGAGGGACTTTGTGATTCATTGCTTTCATTCTGATTTTTTTTCCTTAGGTAGAATAGGATTATTATTTTACTTGATTTTCAGGCTCTGTGAAATAACACAAGGTTAGGTGACTATGGATTGTGCCGTAGCCGAGTGGAAGATGCACATGTAATATTGCCCAATTTGCCTCCTGCTTAGTGTGTAGTTACACTTGAAATGTAGCTTTCTTGTTTTCCCCCGAATAGGCAATTGAACTCGTTTTCTGGTTGAATACCAATATCTTATGTTGGGGTTTTGTTCTTTGCCACCCACACTGTCACAAGTGCAATTTTTTTGTGTTGTTTTGGGAAAGTACATTTCCATTCTATCACACATGCGGTGATGCGTTTCTATTTCTAACCTAGACAATGCCAGTTTCCCCCAGTGGTCTAAGTTACGGCAGTTGTGTTAAGAGTTGGAAGCAGAATAATATTGTGAATAAACTGTATGATTTAGTAGTGTTTTACCCGCAGTCCTATTCATGAGCTCATAAAATTCATCACGTGTATTTTTATGCACGGGGGTAATTGTGTATTACTGAATGCTATTACATTCTTCTATTCAACTGTATACACAGGGAGAAATGCTTAAGGTGTTTATCAGCTGAAGCCGAGAACATTTAATTTAACTCACTATCAAACCGTACGTAGTATCAGATGTAGAATAATATGCTGCATAATCTTCCGTGTAATACTTGTTCTTACGGAGTAAATTTGAGAAATGTAACGTGTGCTGTATTTTTATTTACGTGCGGTACCCTCCGCAGTGAGTTACGAAGGCAGGAACGGTTGGTTCGTTTCCTGGCTCCCGGCGAACCTCCCGCTACTCTCAGTGTTTACAGCCGACTCCATTTTCCTCGGCTGTTAAAGTTTCCCGTAGGGCGTGACCCCGCTCGTGCGTGACGTGACCCGTTACGTGAGCGCTCACGTTTCTGACGGCCTCCTCCT